GCCCCCTATAGTCAGCGATGGAATCAGCTGACCATACCTGGGAGCCGGCAGCCACAACCACTCAGTCTTGGAAGGGTTGAGCCTGAGTCTGTTTCTCCCCATCCAGACCCGTACGGCCTCCAGACACCGGGCCATCACGTCAAGGGCATCATTGGGGTGGCCTGGGGTGGAAATGTACAGCTGAGTGTCATCAGCGTACATTTAGTGACAGTTCAAAGTTATGATGGCATAGAAACTGTGACTTAGGACTGGTCCTCACACCTATGCAGTGTCCTCACAGTCACATAATCATGGTTTGGGCCTATGGTAAACATTTGCGCATCGGCGACGGTTGCAGTGTCATGGGATCATGTGATCACCTTTTTTTGGTCTTCCAAACCATCTTAAAGCGTGGAGACTGGGGGATTCTGGGAATTGAAGTATGCAAGTCTCAGAAGTTGCCAGGTTTGGAGACCCCTGGGCAAAAGGTTGAGTCAAGCATCGACTCATTCACACATTGTACTAAAACATGATTTTGGAATTCTGAACCCGTGGGGAGGCTGGCTCAATCCAAGATGGAACAAGTCACATGACAGCTTTTGTACAAATGAGGATTTTACTGACTGCCCTGTTATTTCCAGGATAGCTGAATCCCCAGTGCACTGTTCTTTTTTGGCCTTCTGCAAAAGCAAGGGGGGGTGGGTTGAACATCTGTTTAGAGTCCTTGCCCTGATCTGATCAGGGAACCTCCATTCATTAGTTTTGAGAGAGGGAGGGAGGGAGGAAAAAGAGAAAGTATAAAGGAAGGAAGGAAGGAAGGAAGGAAGGAAGGAAGGAAGGAAGGAAGGAAGGAAGGAAGGAAGGAAGGAAGGAAGGAGAAAAAGGTGAAAGGGAGAAGAGATAAAAGAAAAGAAGAAAAGAAAAAAGGAGAGAAAAGGACGAATTTTTGTGCCATTAATCATTAACTTGGAGAACTTTTAATAGGTGGGTTTGATGAGGCTCCCCAAACCGCTTGAAGAACAGATTATCCTACCTAGAGGTTCAAAATAACTCTGTGCAAAATGTTCCCTTTGAGTCATCCCAAACGGGAGAGGACGCACTTACCTTCTTGAAAGGGAAGACCCGGCCTTGGAGCAGAGACATTTCTCTCTTAACGGGAAAATGCATCTTGTTATACACACGCGCTCAACTCTATCTGTGAAAATCCATCTTTGGCTCTTTCGGTAGCCAGTGAACGCCTCTGGTCCTTTTTGGCTGCACCAGTTGAACGCCACGCTTAATGTCTCTGCCGAGTTTTGTTTAGACCTGTCCTGCCGTACGTACAGGGGCTTCCAGACAGCATCACAGATTCCTGGTTTTCTAATTTTGCCTCCACCATAATCATTCTGGGATGTGATTGCACAAGTGCTGAAAGGGCAGGTTGCCCCCCAGTGGCTAAAGGCAGATCCTGCAAGGTCAGGGAAGGGAAGGTAAAAAGATTTCCATCCTTAGGAAAGAATACCGAATAACAAGAGTTGGAAGGGACCTGGGAGGTCTTCTAGCCTGACCCCCCGCTCAGGCAGGAGACCCCTATTACACCATTTCAGACCAATTGCGGTCCGGTCTCTTTCTTAAAAACTGATCTGAAACGTTGCCGCGTGCTCAACGGAGCCGATTAGCAAAAAGAATTTAAAACCCACGCCCGACTGTTGGACCGACAACACAGGAGTAAATAAAAGCAATATTTATTAGCTGATGCTTATTACAGCCTTGAAATAAAATTGGGACGGAGGGAGCCAAAATATATTTCAGCTTCTACTGCAAGAAAAGACGGGCGGGAGGGTCTGGAAAGTCTCCGTATTTACTTTTTTTGGGAAAGAAAGCCCAAATTCCAAACCTATGCAATTCAAAGGTGCACAAATCAAATCACTCGGAAAGGAGAACGATCAAGCGACCGAGAACAGGTTCTAGTGGGGGGGGGGGGGATCAGGAGACAGTGCAGAGGAGGTGCGAAGCTGCACAACTATTTGTGGGCGTCACGACCAGAGAGAGAGAGAAAAATATGAGGTATTACAGCCCGTCCCACCTCCCACCACCTGCAAACCGACAAGAACTAACCTGAGCATGGAAAAACCCCCCCCTCCAACAATGTCGCAGCACTGAACAGATCCACACACGATCCCCGAGCTCGGAGAGCCAGGCCACCATAAAACCAGTTCCAAGAAGCCATTTTGGTTTTTTTTATTTGGGTAGCTTTTTTTTTTTTTTAAGACACAGGTGTGATGCTTCAAATGAGGACCTAACAACCCGGGCTGGGGGGGGGGGAGATGAGACAGGTTAACACCCACCCAAGGAACATTTCTACAACTTTCTCTCTTTGTTTGGTGCACGGGAGGGGGGGGGCTGACAGCCAGCCCTCACATCTCCCTGGGGTACGGGGAGAGAAAAAGAGTTAAAAATAACATTTTAAAAAAGGTCGCAGCTAAAAGGGAATCCAGAGCCAAGTTAAGTGCACAAATAGCAGCTCTCTCTCCCCTACGCGTAACTCAAGCTGAGTTCCCAAGACCGTAAGGGAACGCTTTTTAAGTCTTCAAGCTTCAAGTCCTCTGGAAGGACCGAGCGGGCAGGGAAGGTGAGTGGATCAAAGCTTCCACCGGTCACTTTGTTCCTGGCTCTCCGTGGGCCACATCTACCCCACTGGGACCCAACTCTGTCCTTCCCACTATTGGGGGGGGTGGCCCATCATCCTAGGTAGCACAGCAACAAAAGTGAGGCACCCAGTTCAAAAAGGCTGACTTCTCCTGCCAAGCCAGGTAGGGAGAATCAAGGAGAAAGACGCCACACCGGCCTTTGCGAAATTCAAATTTGCATCAAGTCAACCAATTCCATCACTTGTGCAGGCTGGATTGTCGCTCCCACCCCAGTGACAGAGAGAGAGACACACACACACACACAGAGAGAGAGCAGACCCCATTTGCTTTGGCAGTCCCGAGTCTCCACTTTCGGCAAAGATAAGGAGACTCAGGTGGAGGACGAGAAGAAGCCTTTGTCGAGGAGGCGGAAGGATGCGTGTGACAGGGGAACGTCGGAGGTAGGTTGTAAAGACAATCTTAGAAAAATCAGGCACATTACAAGTATAATATTACACAGAAACCCTATTCCAGAAAAAAAAAAATGCCTCTCCTTCTGCAAGCGGGATCTTGCAGAAAACTTTGCCACTGGAGGGGAAGGAGAAAAAGGAATGGGGACGGAGGTGTTTTTTTTAAAAAAAAAGAAGAAGAAGAAGAAGAAGAAGAAGAAGAAGAAGAAGAAAGAAGAAGAAAGAAGAAGAAGAAGAAGAAGAAGAAGAAGAAGAAGAAGAAGAAGAAGAAGAAGAAGAAGAAGAAGAAGAAGAAGAAGAAGAAGAAGAAGAAGAAGAAGAAGAAGAAGAAGAAGAAGAAGAAGAAGAAGAAGAAGAAGAAGAAGAAGAAAGAAGAAAAAAAAAGAAAAGAAAAAAGTATCAGTTAGCAAGACCAAATCCTCAAATTGGGGGCAAAGGGGAGGAAAAAACTGAAAGAAGAAGAAAAAAAAATGGTTTTTGTTCCTGCAAGAGAAGTTCAGCTCCCTGAATCCCATCGGACCAGGAAGCAGCAAAGTTGAAAAAAAGCTTGTGGAAGAGACATGGTTGACTCCAGGCCCAAGAAATTTTAAAGCAACTTATTTGAGTAAGCCCAAAGCTTTAGAGCAGGGGTGTCCAACCTTGACAGTCCAAGACTTGAGGACTTCAATTCCCAGAATTCCCCAGCCAGCGAAGACTCGTGGACTTCCAATTCCCAGAATCCCCCAGCCAGCGAAGACACGTGGACTTCAATTCCCAGAATTCTCCAGCCAGCTAGCACTTGGGGGAATTCTGGGAGTTGAGGTCCACAGGTCTTACAAGTTGCCAAGGCCGGACAGCCCTGCTTTGGAGTCAGCATCCACCCAAACGTTGCCTGACTCTAAACAACCTTCAGCTTCTTTTTCTGAAAACAAAGAAACGCCACCCCTTCAACTCTTCCACACAACTTAACGCAACCCTGCAGACTCCCCTGAATGAAGAGATTTAACGCCAGTGTGTTTAAAAAGCCCGACACGGCTTTAAATGCTCACACACACCAACACACGCACAAAAGGACCTCCCGAGAGAGAAAGCATCTCGAAATCCACCGTCGCGTGGATCGATGCGTGTGGGATGGGTGCCCATACTTTAGGAATTTGGTAAATGAAGAGGACGAAGCGATGGATACGCTGATCTTCCCCCGGATCTAAACCGAGCAGGATTCTCCTCGACTCACCCAAGACACGGCCCTGATTTGGCAAAAATCTTGAGACGATCGTTTTGGAACAAGGCAAACCGAGTTACTTTGCTGTGGGTGCTTGCTTGAGCCAAGCCTCGGGGATGCCTTTGATTTGGGTTCCCAGGCCGCCCACGAACCTCTCCAAGGCTGCTGTGGCGCCCCTTTTAAACCACGTTGGTGGTGGGGAAAGAAAGGTTTCTTATAGGGACGAAGGAACAAGCCGAGTTTAGAAGCTTCGGGGTCACAGACCACTGCGATGGGGCCGAAAAGAAGGAAGCGGATGGAAAAACCAGCCCAAAAAACCATTCTTTCTTTCGTTTTCCTTCCGGTCTCGCTCGCACAGCTGGGGTATTAGTGCAAAACCTTGTGGTGATGCTCAGCCTATCGTGGATGCCGGATTTATTATTATTACTTTTTGAGAAAAGGGTCTCAAAATTCTTAGGTGAAGGTTAAGGGGGAAGAGAAGGGATTCTAAGCCCCGACTGCCAGGGAGGAGGCAGGGGGACCGACAGAAGGAGAGGCAGTGAGGCAGGGGTGTGTGTGTGCGTGTGTGCGTGCAGAGGTGTGATCCAATAAGGGAGACACTGACCCAAAGTGGGAGGCAGCAGCCGGAGAAAGATTAAAACCCCAAGAGAAAGACTGGACAAATGAACGGTTCTCTTCCAAGACTGAAAAGCAACTTTCAGGAGGCGTTCTGGTTCTGGAAGATCGAGGCTTTCTCCTTCAGCAAATCCAGGCAGAGGTGACAACTCCAGCTTCCTGCGAGGAGAAAAGCATTTTCCTTATTCAAACTAGTGACGGTAAAAAAAAAAAGCACGGCTGGGTACATAACAGTCCTCGGTTTACGGCCACAATGGAGCTCAACATTTCTGCTGACAAAATTTGCCAAAGTGAGTTTTGCCCCCATTTTACGGCTTTTTTCCGGCCGCAGTTGTTAAGGGAGTCACCGCAGGGGTTAAGTTGGTCGCGCACGGTTTTGTTAAGTGAACCTGGCTTCCCCGTGGACTCGGCTTGCCAGAAGGTTGCAAAAGGGGATCACGCGAACCGTTATAAATGTGAGTCAGCTTGTCAAGCGTCTGAATATAAATCAGGTGACCATGGGGATGCTGCCACGGTCGTTAAGTGTGAAAGAGGGTTGCAAATCACTTTTTTGCAGTGCTGTTAACTTCAGTCACTAAACAAACTGTAATAATAATAATAATAATAAAGTTGGAAGGGACCTTGGAGGTCATCTAGTCCAACCCCCTGCTCAGGCAGGAAACCCTATACCAGTGGTGGCGAACCTATGTAATTGTGACTCAGGCCTCTTTCCCCTTTCTCTGCTTATTCCCATTCCTTTTAGGTTTCTCAGGTCAGATCGGAAGCTTATGGATGGTAAATCATAGAGTCATTGGCCTGGAAGGGACCTTGGAGGTCTTCTAGTCCAGGGGTAGGCAACCTTGGCTCTTTTATGACTGGTGGACTTCAACTCCCAGAATTCCTGAGCCAGCATGGCTCAGCTTGGAAACCTCTCCCTTTCCCCTCAGCATGGCTGGCTCAGGAATTCTGGGAGTTGAAGTCCACCAGTCCTAAAAGAGCCGAGGTTGCCTAGCTGCAACCCGCTGCCCAAGACAGGAGTCCTTATACCATCCCAGACAATCCGTCTTTTCTTGAAAACCTCCGGTGATGGAGCGCCCACAGTTCCAAGTGGTAAGCTGTTCCACTGATTAATCGTCCTCACTGTCAGGAAACAGCGAGTAAGCCGGTTTGGGACTCTCTTGACATGAGCAAATGATTACTGCCAGGTTGGCATCGACATGTCAGATTCTCGGGCAGAGGTCGTCACCTCCTCCGACTAATGTTTAACTGGAGATGTAAAGATTAATTCCAGGAACCTCTAGATGGGACAGTGCATTGGCTCACATCCTGCGGGCCTCTGCAATGGAGCCCGTCTGGTTGTGTGGGTCCCCTCCTTGTTAGAAGACCAGTTGCAAGAGAAGAGAAAACACATGCAGAGAAACTTTCTCTGCATCTCTTAATTTAACTAAAGCCTGAGTGTGATTCTCTTTGTGAGGTCAAAATGACATGGACTGTTTGAAATCAACACGAGCTGAAAGGATCCTCCCAAAGGCCTGAGCCAGCTCCTGCTCTGGAAACAAGAGAGCCACCTTTTGCCTTGTCGTGATAAAGGAAGGGTTGGCAACTTTTAAAGATGGTAGCTTTTGCCTGTGTGTGTGTATGTGCGTGCATGCGCGCGCATGTACATGTGTGCTAATTCTGAACTTCCTTCCCTTTTTAAATTTCTCTCCTTTTTAAATTTCTTTCCTTCCTTCCTTTAAATTCCTTCCTTCCTATTCCTTCCTTCTTTTAAATTAATTCCTTCTTCCCTTTTTTAAATTCCTTCCCTCCTTCCTGCCTCTTTCCCTCCCTCCCTCCCTCCCTCTCTTTCTTTCATTCTATCTTAATTTATATGCTGCCATTGCTCCAATAAGATGACTCTGGGCATCTTGAAATCTCATGAGGTTTCGTGACAGGCCAATTTTTTTTTGTTAAGTTGGAGGCTAAAACAAGATTTGGGGCTTTAAAATGCTACTGGTTCCGTAACACTCGGGTGCTGGCCATTTCATCTTGAAGCATCACAGGCACCCTTCATGGGACTGGTCTCTAACCTGCCACCCCCAGGTGTCTTCACATTTTGATTTTAAAAAGAGAAGGAGCCAGAGTAGTGGGCTATAAGCTGGGTCTTCCTGATGAGCTGGACCACCAATTTCATCCTGGGCAGCCAGGGTGGGGGAAGGAAGAAGATCAAGGCGAAGGAAGCAGGCTGCTTTATAACTGTGGGCTCTGCACAACCCTTCACAACTCCCAAAATCTCACCCAGGTGAAAGGTGGGGGAGGGACAAGAGTGGGAGCAGAATCGCGCTCACCTTCCGGAGGTTCTGACATCGGTGGAGTGAGGCAGTACATGTGATAACCACGGTCACAATCGTCACAGAACAGCAGCTGGTCCTAAGGAAGATGGGGAGAAGGCAATGAAGAAGAATACTGCTTAATCCCACCGCCTTTTGGACTGGAGAAAACAGCACCCAGAGAACTTAAGTACTTCCTTTCTTTTTATGAACCCCAAAACGTGACATTTCCCGGCATGCAAAAGACCCCATACTTGGAAGGCTCTCCAGAATGGTCAGACCAGGGTTGGGACTCGGCAGGTGAGGTTCAAGGCAACTGTTTTCAATTTAAGAGGGGTTTCCCCCCCCCCGCCAAGAAGCTCCACGTAATCAATACACTTAGACCCTGGCCAGGTTCATAGCACAATCTTCACCCAGAAGCAAATTATGCAGCTCCACTCAACCTTCCAACTTCCTCAGCTGGGATCATTTTTAGTAGCCCAGCATGAATCTAGCCACTGAGTTTATGATTTTACGTACAACGAAAACCCAGAAAATGAGTTCTCGAGAGTGAGTTTAAAGGAGAGGGCTTTGTGTACGTTTTGAAACAGGCTGCAAAGAAGAGAGCAATCCAAATTTGGTGATTCAAATTCAGAACTAATCTTGGTTTCCAGGAGGATCCATCACAAGAAGCAGGCTTCAAAGGATCCAGTATCAGAGGGGGAGAGGTCAAGTCCAAAGGAGAAGCGGGGGGGAGGAGGGCTGTCCCCCAAAAGGAAGAAGAAGGCATAACTAAGGAGATTAAATTCCAACCTGAATCAGATCAGCCTCTGGGGACAAGATGTGTTTCACTTTGAGAGTGGGCAACTAAATTTCACTTTTGATGTGTGGCGTTGTGCCCACGGTAAAAAAATGACAATAAAGGTTATCTTATCTTATCTAAGAAGAGAGAGGAAAAAAGCACACTCACGTCGTTCTCAGAGGTCCCGCAGATGTTACAGCACTTGCATTCAATACACTGCCAGCGGTAGGTCTTCACGGCAGCCATCATGACTGGGGTGAACTGCAAGCAAGATGGGTGCCCTGGAGAGGTGAGAGAAAGCAGCAGCATTCAGACAGACCACTCCACCCTAGGAAAGGCAGGTGAGCTATTTGCAGGGGGACAGCTAAGGCAAAAGAGCCCCACCAGTCCTTTTTTTCAAGGGTACCCAATGGTACCCAAGGGCTCGCGTACCTGATCGCCCACAGTCCGAGCACGAAACCAGCTCTTCGGGTTGACCCGTCTTCTTGTTGATCTTCGAGTCTCCCAGACAAAAGTCGCAGTAGTTATTGGGCAGGGCCAAACCGTCGGGACCCTTCTTGGCTAGGGAAGCAGAAGGGGTTTGTCTTTCAAAGCACAGCAGAGGCATGTCCTGTTTAGCAGCCCAGATAAATCCCAAGACAAACACACACACACACACACACACCCTGTCCCAAAATGGGCAAATCCCGCACGGAAAACTTTGGGCGGCATAACTTGAGACATTAGCAACCCCACTTGGGCTCAGCGAGTTTCCTAACACAGGCACTCACTGCAAATTATTTCTTTTTTTTTAACCTCGGAAAGCCACCTGGGTGCAGTTCCCTCCTGCTACCACTTAAGTTTCAAACCACTATAGCTAAGCCCTGTGGATCGACAGGCGGCTGTTACGTAGAAGCTGGGCTGACAAGATCAGAAATGAGGAGGGGATCAACCGCCTGGGAAAGCCCAGGGAAATCATCAAAACAATTAAAAAACGAAAATTAGAATATTTCGGACATGTGATGTGACACCCCAGAAAAATACGGCATACTCCATTTAATCCTCCAGGGAAAGTTGGAAGGCAAACGAGGTCCAGGCAGAAGAAGAAGAACATCGTGGCTTCAAAATCTAAGGGACTGCTTTGGACAAAACTCAGCAGCACTTTTTCGTGCGGCTGCTGATAAAAACAGGATCGCCAACGTCCGATAACGGATAGGGCCCAAGAAGAAGAAGAAGAAGAGCTAAGCCCATTTCTAACGGCGGTTGGGTAATTGTAGCCTGCCAAGTTCTCGTTGTTGGAGGTGTGGGGCACCGTGATCGGCTCTGAAAATGGAAGGGCGAGGAAACTGGCTGAGGAGGAGGAGGAGACGCCCCTCTCGAGAGAAGGCTCCCATTGACAAGCGGAATTGGGCAACAGAGCTCAAGCCCTTTCGGAGTTTGGCAACTGCAGGTGATTCAAAACAAGAGGCCCAGCAAGGAGCTGGAGAAGGAGGGAGGGAGGGAGTGGATGTGTGATGAGGTGGACAAAGGCAAGCTGACAGTAAGACTGTTCCATAATCTCCATTATGCAAAGACCAGCAGGGCCAAACAAAGGTCCCGCCCTGATTCACGGGGACCAGGCTGAAGAGCAGTGTAGAAAACAGGCGCTGGGGGACTTGCACCCAACTCCAAACAAGTCAAAGGGAGGGAGGGAAGCTCCCTGCAGCTTACTTTTCTGCTCCTCCGATCTCTGGGAGACGGGCGTGGGGGGCTGAGAGTCTTCCTTGTCCTCCCCTTCTTCTTCCGCCAGGTGACAGTGAGCGTAGTGGTAGCTCAGGCCGGGACGATTCTTGTAGCGTTTCCCACAGACTGAACGAAGGAAGGATCAGAAGAGAACACTGAGAGGCAAGCCGGCTGTAAAAGAACACCCTCCCACGTCCCTTCTCCGCAGACCCCACCAGTGGGCTATCCTTCACCCAAAGGCCACCCCACAGCACGTGGCCTGCTTCCCCAAACAGGTACTCCTCAATTTACCACCGCTCACTCAAAGTGATGACAGGCCTCCCCAGAGCTACCGATGAGCTCTTTTTGGAGTTACGACAGTCGCACACCCCAGCCTGCAGCCCCACAATCACATTTTGGGCACATTTTAGCAACCGGCGCCACTTTTGCAGCAACTGCGATGGTGACGTATTTTTTTTTTGGCTGGGTTTTCAGTTTTTCTTCTGGTTCCCAGCCAAAAAAAAGGGGGGGGAGGGCTATTGGGGAAAATGGATTCGCTTAACGACTGTTGCATTCGCTCAATGACTGTTGTTGCAAGCGATCGTAACTTTGAATCCAGTCACACGATGCTTCGAATGACTACCGCAACGGCTTAACGGCTGTAATTCCGGGCTCAGTTAAGGTTGTAAGTAGAGGACTGCTGCTGTAGAGCAGAAGGGGTGCCTACAGTTGCACAGAGCTGATCGCAGGGTGACATGTTCTCTCTTCTCAGAGCAAAACTCAGCTACACCCAAGCTCTGCCTGTAACCTTGTCTTAAGGTAGGGGTTCCCAACCAGGGGTGCGAAAGGATATTCCAGGGGGTGCAAAAACTTGAGGTTTCAAAATTATAGTGTATATGCATAATTGGTTGCCGTTATTTCAAACTTTTGTAAGGGGTGCGAGAATATATCAGAAGAGTTCTTGGGGTGCAGGGTATAGAAAAGGTTGGGAACCACTGTCTTAAAAGGGACTCGGTGAACTCCCAAGGCAGCTCATTCAGGGCCACAAACAAAAAACAGCCACTTGCCACAATCATGGCATGACCAACACTCCCCACCCCAACCCAGCATTGCAAACAAGCCACAGAGTGCATGCAGACAAGGAGTGATGAAATTCAACCCCTGGTTTTCATGAAACAAGAGGTCTGAAAGTCAACGGATGTTATCTCGATGTCCAAAAAGCAAAGGTTAAGGCTATTCAATGGACAGCGAGGACATTTTTCTGCCCTTCCACATGTGCAGGATAATGTGTCTTGAAAAAAAAAATCATGTTTACACAAGACTCCACCCGTTGCTCAGTTCCTCCCAAACCCCAGGTATGACCACCTCCTTTCCCAAATCCAGCCTTCCTTGGACGTTCTTTTGCATAAATATCCCCGTTCCAGACTTTATTGTAATTAAGTCTTCTCATAGTTAAAAGACTTGCACTATTTTTCAATCTGCTCCGATTCCATTTTTTTGTTCTCTTCCCTATGACAAATTTTGGCTCATGTGGTGCTTGGGACACGAAGCCACTTCCTGTACTTCTGTACAGCCTTGTGCTTTCTGACATACAGTATTTGTGCCAGTTTAAGCCCAGCCTGGCAAATGACCTCACGAAAGCTAAACACCGGTTAATGCATTTTTTCGCATTAGCTGCGATTTCAATGCCAGTCACAGAAAATAGTTCCCTCTTTTCCACCCAGCAGATTCTTTAGATAATGCTCTAAAACTAGCTCCCTGTTATGGAAAAAAGGAAGAGACAAAAACCACCACAATCACTCTTTGACTCTGATCATAAAAGGAAAGGTGAGTGTTAGTGGAATTCAGGGATTAAAAGGTTAGGAATATGCCTGCTTCATACTGCTGAATTACAATTCTCCGCATCCATCATCAAGGCCATCCAAGGAGTGTTAGCGACACCAGTGAGTCCACAACTATTTACAGCAGGGATCTCCAAACTTGGCAACTTTGAGACTCGTGGACTTCAACGCCCAGAATTCCTCAGCCAGCCCGTGCCATGAATTCTGGGACTTGAAGTACACAAGTCTTAAAATTGCCAAGTTTGGAAATGCCTGCTCTACAGAAAAGAGGATTTAGCTGCGCTTATCTTCTCTTGACAGAATGTACCCTGGAAAATAAGAAGATCTGACAAAACTGTTTCCTAGCTTTAGAACGTGCCAGGAACAGATTCAGAGTCAAGGGAAGGAGAACAAATAATCCATCCTCTTCTTTGCAGCTAAAATTAATCCCCCAAACAATATGTCCTAAATCTGGAAACAGCTCAGGCCAGGAACGAGAAAACAGACCATATTTAGAAGGAAGCAGTAGAGAAGCTGGCGGGAGGGAAGTGGAGGATAAAAAGAAACAAATCCTTTGAGCTATGCAGGTCTCATACTCATGTGTGTTTCTGTATGCGCACAGGAATGCGTCTCTGTGTGTGTATGTGTGTGAATGTCCAGAAATTGGAAATCTAATTTGTCAAGAGGAAAAAAAGTCACATCCCTCTAAGGGTTGTGTAAACCCAGCTGATTAAGTTAAGAACCTGAACTAGCAGGCCCTACTCTACGCAGCTACTACAGTCAGCAACCAAAATGGATAAGGAAAAAGTTCTGGCTCAGAACATCTGCTGGTGGGAGATAGGGCGGTATATAAATTCAATAAATAATAATAATAATAATAAAAGGAAATCCCAGCCTTCTCCTTCAAACTTACAAATTTATCCTGATTATTGCATTTCTGTTATCAAGGATTTGTCTCTCGTCATTATCTACAGTTGAACTCAGGCTTAGAACTGTCTTTCTTTGTCAGGGAGAAAGCCAGCAGGGCTGGTTATACACCCAGAGTCTACCAGAATTGAGCATCTCCATTTTTGCACCGAGGGAATCCAACAGATTATCTAGGATCACCTCGGCTGCTGAGGTCCAGCAAATAGCTCAGAGGTCGCCTAATGAAGGGAATGAATACCGAAGACTCAAACTTTGGGCTATTATTAACAGAATTTACAAAATCTGAAGACCTTTTGCCCCGTTCCTGTGCTAACAAGTCTTCTCAGCTGGAGAAGGCAAAGTCCCAACTCAGATGCTCCCCCCACTCCGTAGGGCATGGGCCCAGCAGGGAAGAGGCCGGGAGAAAAACAATCCTCTCTCTTAATGCCAGTTAAGATAATTGGTATATTAAACAGAATTTACAGATTCTAGCAACAATGAAAGTAAATGCAAGCCTTTCAACATCCAACATCTCCCAGAGCAGATTTGGAAATGCAGCTGATTTGAACGACGCCGGGGATTTTTGCCACAGCCAGTTTTGCTACACAACAGTGTTTCTTTAAGACATGTGGACTTCAACTCCCAGAATTCCCCAGAAACCATCTTCTCTTTGGCCTTACTTTGCCCAGCTTGACGCTATCTCGAATCTGTCCTCCTCTAGACCAAAATGAAAATATTGAATTCTCAATTCAACGTTCACCCCCAACACTTCAAAAGAATTTGCATCTTTCCCAAACACACAAATACACGCACAAATGCATGTTTCCCCCCTCAGTACGTCGCATACATAAAACCAAAGTAGGTGTCATCGGAAGGGAGGGATTTTTGGCACTCTGCGTGAGAAGACCCGCTTTTTTAAAAAAAGGAAGGAAAAAAAAAAAAGAAGAGTTTTTAAAACTAACATTTCAGAAGAACAAAGTCAGGAGGAAATTAAACAGCAAGACAGAAAGAATGGAATACCTCGGTCAGGAGGTTTCGAGGTATGCTTTTGTTTGTAACTATCTGAAATACAGAAAGAGAATGAGAGAAAGGTGAAGGCAATCTATAAAGGTCACGCACATCACATGCACACAGTCAGCTATACAGAGCGATTAAAAAGGAGGAGAGAAAAACAAAAGCTCACTGGTGTTATTTCAAATCAAGAGGGGTAGTATAAAATTCTCACAGGAGAGTAAAGGAGGAGAGAAAGAAAAGTAATTTCAAAAACTCACGATTTGCCCTTTGGGAAAGGGGTCTTGCCAATCACCCTTCTCTCCCAATTTTTCCATTAATCACTGAGGTTTCATGGGGTTTTTTTTTTTGTTTTTTTTTTGCAGAATCGGTGTGCAGGGTCAAAGGTCAAAAAGTTGTGAAATGTGGAACCGAAGGAGAACCCTGTCCACCACAACTCTGGAGGTCTGCATGCGAAGCGCAAAACACGATTCCCAATCGCAGAAAAGAATTCCAGGGTGAAACAGATTCTCCTTCCTGTGCAATCCCAGGATCCTCCAGAAGAACTTTGGGGTTCTTTGCCCAGAATTCCACTACTGGGACAGAGAAAGGAACAGCGACGACCCCAACTGAGAATGCCAAGTGAATCTCTGCTGACTTCAAGCAGCAGCAGAGAAGGTGGCCAATGCTGCGTATTTCTGCCTCTCACTGAATTCCTCATCGGGCAAAACTGAAAAAACCTGCCATTTTCTGAAGTTGGGCAAAGAAATGTTATCCCCTTCACACTGTGTGACGAATGATGTATTTCAGCTCTCCCCAAACAGCCCCTGGCACAGTGCAGGATTAACGGGGGGCCAAGTAAAAGGAGGGGGGGCGTACCCCCACCAGGGCATTGTCACACAACCCCATCCTAACACCAGGAGCTGTTCCCAGACTATACACCAGTAAAATCAAGAAGCTGTTTCCTATAACCCGGCCCGCCTTCTTACTCACTGTCACATGCGTACGGTTTGTCTCTGTCTTCCAAAATGGCAGCATCCAACTTTTTCCGAGCACTCCCAACTCCTTTACCCTATAAGGAAATTAGATTTAAAACAAACAAAAAAAAACTGATGGCAGATGAAGAATATGATGCTTTCTTTCTGGTTTGGGGACAAAGTGAAATTCAAGATGGCTGGGTTTTAAGATTGAAATCTCAGATATTGCTGTTCTAATTCCTGCAATTCAAACAAACAGAAGAGAAGCATGACAACTATGACTAGCACAGTTACGGTCGCGGGTTTTCCTCGTGGAGCGACCACTTTGCTTAGTAGCAGAGTTGTCGGTCCCAATTAGCGTTAAGCGAGGACTACCTGCACGTAGCTTCAGTTAATTCTGCTCATCAAATTAGGAAAATGTGTAGAGCAATGCTGCCACCCAGTGAAAGATATTTGTAACCATCTTAAAATGAGTATTTATTCATTTCTCTAAACCACTTTAAGATCTTTTTTCAGATGGCAGGTAACGGTATCTTAGATTAAGCAAGACTCTCAGAATTTGATTTTTATGCGCTTAGAGTGAAATCTGCAACCCAGCCAATGGCTTCTACTCAAAATACCTGCCTTCTCAGCATCTTTTGGGACACTTAACTATCCCCTTGCCTAAATTGCCCAGACGCACTCCTTACTCTGCATTAGAGGAGCCTATGTAAGATCCAACGAGCCCACAGAATTTGAAATGGAGGAAAGTTTTAAGGAGGGGGGGGCACATTAACCCATACCTTGGCCTTTCCTTTGCCTCGTCGTTTTGGGGTGTCTTCCTCGTAGTCCTCATCATCCAGATCATCCAAGAAATCATCAGGTTCCAGAATTCGCTGAAACAGAAAGAAAAGGATGCAAAAAAGCGATGAGGGAAGGATGCTTGGTTTATCCAAAGAATGTTCCTGCTAAATCATAGCTCTGTGGGTGTCAGGTTCTGTGAAGAGCTGATTGATAAACAGCCCCCCCCCTTGTCTCGTCACGCATCGATAGCTTCGCTGTAAGAACTAGGCAAGCGCAGCGCAAACAACAAAGAGGCTCCGCAGTTGTGCAGGACAAATGCTAAGAGCAACAATGTTCTTGCTCAATCAGGGACCATTCTCAATGCAGATTCTGAATCCAAAGGCAGGTACAGCCTGAATGATAAATAGAGAGGACTTAAATAGGACCCAGGATATTGCCACTACATCTCTTTTTTTATCATCTAACAAATATTTTACACTCTCTCAAATATATGATGGAACCAACTATTCATAAGCTGTGTTTTTCCTTATTTCACCTAGTACAAGGGTAGGCAACCTGGGCTCTTTTATGACTGGTGGACTTCAACTCCCAGAATTCCTGAGCCAGCATGGCTCAGCTTGGAAACCTCTCCCTTTCCCCTCAGCGTGGCTGGCTCAGGAATTCTGGGAGCTGAAGTCCACCAGTCATAAAAGAGCCCAGGTTGCCTACCCCTGGCCTAGTGGCTCAATGGTACAATCCTTGCCCAAGAGCTCTATATCTCTTTGCAGTGAATTTTAATGGTCAGCGTGAAGCAAGGGTAAAGGAGTCTAAAAACAAGCTCTGGTTTCTCTACAGGACCCCAGTCAACAGGACATAGAAAGGAATGAGGGGCGATCCATTTCTAATCCTTCTCCCAACTGGAGATCCATGACACTATTCCCAAGGGGAAGAGGCCAGAGAGTGGTTGCTATACAACCCTCACCCTGAGACGCAAGAGTCGCCTGACAGGGAGATATAAAGTTAATAAATAAAATGCAAATGATTTATTCTTGGCAGCTTTGTATTATTATGCTTGTTTTTTTAATTTTACTTTTAATTTTCCTCGCTGGCCAGAGCCACTTGTTGAGTTGGCTGGCAATAAGAAAGAAGGGAGAAGAAGGATAGAGTAGGGTAGGGAAGGAAAGGAAAGGAAGGAGGGAAGGGAAGAAAAGGAAAGGAGGAAAGGAAAGGAAAGGAGGAAAGGAAGTTAGAAGGAGGGGAGGGAAGGGAAGTTAGGAGGGGAGGGAAGGGAAGGGAAAGAAGGAAAGGAAAGGAAGGGGAAGGAAATGAAGGGAAACGAAAGGAAAGGAAAGGAAAGGAAAGGAAGGGAAACGAAGGGAAAGGAAACGAAGGGAAAGGAAAGGAAAGGAAAGAAAACGAAGGAAAAGGAAAGAAAAGGGAAGGGAAGGGAAGGGAAAGGAAAGGGAAAGGAAGAACAGTATGTTCTATAAATGAGCATCTTTCAAAGGAAAGATGTCTTATTTTACCACAGGCTGCCATTCTCTACCCTACCTTCCGGGTGCGGCTATTGGCAACAGGGAACTCGCTGAGGCTGTCTTCGTCAGTACGAGGGTCAGGCAAGCTGCGCTTCTCAAGGGGGTCTGTCCTTAAGAGGGCCTCCAAGCTGCTGCCATCTTGAGAGATTAGGCCTTCTTTCTTTAGGGCCTGCTCAGTGTCTGCCAAAAACAGAGGTTTCATTGTCTTAATGCCATTAAGACAAAGAATCTAAACTTTACCAAGAAAGATAATATTTATAACTCAGGGCTGAAATAAAGGGTCTTTGGTGCTCTCTGAGCTTGGTTGTTTTCTTGCAGACGTTTCAAGACCCAAACTAGGTAACATCACCAGCGCTAGTACACTGGCACTATTACCTAGTTTGGGTCATGAAACGTCTGCAGGAAAACCACCAAGCTCAGAGAGCACCAAGGACCCTACAGTCCTCCTCCTCCTCCTCCCTTCTAGCACTGATGATGTTACCTAGTTGAGTCATGAAACGTCCGCAAGAAAACAACTAAGCTCAGAGAGCACCAAGGACTTCTCAATCTAAACTTCCATTAACTTGGCCAAATAACCTAAGAAAAGTCTGACAGGCATCACAGGCCAATGCAGAAATCTATTAGGTCCTAACACGAGAACGATATGGTCTCTTCTGCCACTTTTTAATGTTGATCTGCATGGAATTCTTAGTTGCAACCTGACTTTTTTTTTAAATGTCTGGCTGTCCTTTTGGTCCATTAGTATGCAAGTAACAGGATACAAAGATACTTTTCTACGGCTGATTTAGAACTACAGAGTTCTCGTCCTCAGATAGCCCATCCACCTGTGATGGGGCACGTTCCAAATTATCCCGGAATTTGCCCGGGCAATTACAAATTCTGTCATGTCTGCCTGAACGATCGCTTCTGCCAGGCGGAAGCTCTTGTTATGATTCATCTGTAAAGATAGAAATTTAAAACTTTGTATAATACAGACAAGGCAAACCTGGTTTAACGGTAGGAAAAGAAAGTCTTGGATCTTCTGGCGGATGAGAACGGCGTTTCTTCCGCCAGCGTCGAGCTGGATAGGAATAGAGCTGGCCAGATGCCAAACCTTCCAACAGAAAAAAAAGGAAATCAAAGCATGTTTAATTATTCCATTTATGTATAAAGATCGGGGGAAAGTATGTGTGTGTGTGTGTATAAAACTTTTATACATAAAGTTAGACAAAGTTTATGGCAAACTCTTCCGGTTTGGGGTATAGAACATTTCCGGCAGCTGTTTGAATTGCAGGAATCATTATTTGCCAGAGTTACTTGATAGTGAGATGGGCAGGATATGAGTTTAATAAATAAAATAAAAGCGCATTTTTAGTCTATACCAGCACTAATTCACACTGATGTCACTGAAACCCCCCCCAATATATATATACACACACACATATATATACACATACATACATACATATATGAACTGACGCATGGAAGCTGCTGCCTGAAACTGACACCACGGAACTGACATCCTGGGTAGAGCCCAGGTTTTCATATGACGTCCAGATGCCTCACCTGGTCCCCTGTGCCGCTTCTCCATCCAAATGTAGCAATTACTCTGTGCCACCCCAGTCTGCGAATCCAGGAACGGTAATCGAACGCTCCTCTCAGCACACAGTCGGGCGTTGTAATTATGGCACTGCTCCATTGCATCCTTGTAGTACTGTTCACCAAGGCTAGGACAAAAGATTGGGGTGGACATCATTAACGAAATGTCTTTCTGTAGTACAAGGGTGTGCGTGGGTTTTTTTGGGGTGTGTGTGTGTTGAAGAATGTTTTGATATAAAGGCTGGAAGTAAAATTCAGCAAAATTGTTATTTGATTTCATTTAATAATTACAACTCAGTTGAATATGGCTGGCCCCAACCCTTCTGTAATTTTCTCTTTCACATTGAAAAGTACAAACCAGCGCCAGCTTTTGGGAGAATCTGCGTTCAGCCTTGGGGATTCTGATTGTGTATCCCTGCCTGAATTACTTCCTTGGGAGGGCCTAAATGGGTTTGTACGTAACATAAAGCTACTTTTTTTAAAAAAGCATGATTTATTGTTGAAGCTATAATATCTTTATTCACTTGGCTGTTGAGTATATCACATTATCGCTTAGTCTGATGATGAACCTGCCTCCATTTAATCCAGGAAACTATAGATGGATGATCTCATTTCCTAAGCATTACAAGAAACCATCCCTAGCAGGGTAGATCTTTTGACAGATTGCAAATATTGTATTTCATTCCCACAGCTGGTCCTTCGCAGATATTGTCATAATTAAATGCGAAGAGGCTGGTTTGAAATTCAAATTATAAGCATGGATTTAAGCTTTTCTTTTCAGAACAAAAGAAGCACCTGTGAAGCTGGTATTTTATATACAGCAACTGTCTTTCAATCTAGTAAATTCACTGAAGAAAGAAAATGCCCAATTCTATTCAATAAATCCAACAGCAGAGGCTTAGGTGGAAACTTCTAAGAGAAAAGAATGCAGAAATATCTAAGTGTACACAGCTTGCATTTTTCCCTTGTTCTTAAAAAACCGGTGGTGCAGCAGCAATGAAGTCTCTCTAATTGAACAGTCTATAATTATAGTAATTTCAGTGTTTAAAAAAAAACACTAAAAAAGCTAAAGGAGGGTACAGAAAACAATGCAACTTGCTGGGAAGAAAATAATGTTACAACTTTGCTGTCTGGGGAGGAAACCAAAGAGAAGGAGAGAAAATTAAGTAGTTAAATGAGAATCCCACTATGTTTACAGTGTTTTATATTCAATCTTGATAATAAAAATATCTATTGAAACAGCTGAAATAAATTTAGAAACACAAGTCAACATTAAAAAATGACCTTGGTTCAGGACACATAATTTCTTCAACAATAGCAGAGTTTTGTTCCGAAATTTGGGATAAAACACGAAGCTCCTGGTTTAACCATCTCTATCGCAATTCTTCACAGCATTCAAAAATAACTGAGTAGGAGGGTTGCTCAAACCTCCACTAAGTCTAGGATTTTGACAATTTCAATTATTCTCCTAAAATGCATCGAGTCTATACATCTTTCTATGGGTAAAACGCTGCCCTCCAACTTTGTCCCTCTATCTCCTTCCACGTGGTAAGTTTTTATTTCTCTCAATTATCTCCAGTCCACCCATCTGTTTCATGGGTTGGAGTTTTTCTATATCCTGCCTTCCTCATCCCGAACAAATTCGCCTAAAGAGCAGTGGAGGGCATGTTAAGATTGTTTGCCTCACATGGAAAATATACAGCATCCCCGATCGTCCAATTTGATCTTTGAAGATGGAGTACCAATGTTATTATATTTAACTCTTTTTCCTTTCCCTAATCAAGTCAGGAGCATTTGAGGGCTGTGAGAGATCGAGAAACTATATATTCTCGCAACGCAACTTGCAACTTCCTAACGCTTTTTCACTGGAAATAAGCTCTCCCAAATCAATTTTAAACTGATTATTTCAAATGGAAAGAATGAGCGTGTAAATTTTATTTTTAAGACAGCTACTCTCATCTATCCTTCTCCACCATTATTTTGAGTTCCTATTGCCTGTACAATTTGCAACTGCAAAAATTTAACAATAGTTCATTTAGTGACCATTTGAAGATACAACGGCACTGAAAAAAAATGACTTAGGGCGTTTTTCACAGCCGTTGCAGCATCCCCACGGTCACGTGATCAACATTCAGACACTTGGCAACTGGCATGAACTTATGACGGTTGCAGTATCCTGGGGTCACGGGATCCCCTTTTGCGACCTTCGGACAAGCAAAGTCAATGGTGAAGCCAGATTCACTTAACGACCATGTGACTAACTTAACTGCGGTAACTGACTTAGCAATGGTGGCAAGAAAGGTCAAAAAACGGGGCAAAACGCACTTAACCGGCTCACTTAGCAGTGGAGATTTTGGGCTCCCTTGTGGTCATAAAAAGAGGATTACCTGTACTACGGGTAGTCCTTGACTTACAACAGTTCATTTACGGACTGTCCAAAGTTACAATGGTCCTGAAAAAAGTGACTTATGCCCGTTTTTCAAAGTTACGACCTTTGCAGCAGCCCCATGATTAAAATTCAGCCGCTTGGCAACTGACTCATACTTATGACGGTCGCAGCGTCCCGGGGTCGTGTGATCCCCTTTTGCGACCTAATGACAAGCAAAGTCAATGAGGGAGCCAGATTTACTTACTAACTTACCAACTACGTTTCACTTAAGAACTGTGGCAAGGAAAGTTGTAAAATCTCACTTAGCAGAAATTTTGGGCTCAGTTGTGGTCGTAAGTCGAGGACTCCCTGTATGAACCCGTGTGTGTGTGTGTGTGTGTGTGTGTGTGTGTGTGTGTGTAATTTAAAGGCCCCTCTTTTCACCCTTGCAGAGAACCCCAATATTATATATATTATATATATATATAATTTAAAGGCCCCTCTTTTCACCCTTGCAGAGAACCCCAATATTATATATATTATATATATATATTATATATTATAATATTATAATTTAATATTATAATTTATATAATTTAAAGGCTCCTCTTTTCACCCTTGCAGAGAGAATCTCCTTTTCCAAAGGCTGCACTTTTTCTTCTCCGACCCTTCGCTTCTTTCCTCTAAAGCTGTGTACATTTAAAAAAAAAAAAAAAAACAGGGAAAAAAACCCACCACCCCTCTTTTATTTTCCCATTTTGTGGGGTGCCTAGAAAAGAAATTCAGGATTTTGAGGGCTTTTTTGGGGTGGGGGAGTGGGGGGGATTATTTTCTCCAAAAAGCAATCCCAAATTTGATTATTTCCCCCACACACACACACACACACACTTTCCTTGTGAAGTTTGCCAGGAAGACAGACAGCAAGGGCTGGCTTGGGATGATGGGAGTTGTGGTCCAACATACCAAGTTGGAGAAGATGCTCCCTAAAACTTAAATCTCTCCATTTCCCCCTTTTTCTCTTTGCTTCCCCCCCCTCAGTTTTCCCCTCAAAAAGCTACTCGTATTAAAGGATATTTTTTTCCCCGCCTCCACAAGTTCCTCTCACCATCTACTGTATTTCATTCAAGCCTTTTTTTGAGGGGGGGGATTTTTCTCTGTCCCCTCAGAAGCTTCATAATTGGGGTTCGGGTATTTTTTTTAAAAGGCTTTTTTTTTCTTTTTAAAAAGCTCCTCCCCATCTTTAAAAGGCATCTTGAGGTGGCCGGACGAGTTTTTTCCCCCCCTCACGTACCTCACTTCTGAAACTTTAAGGTGGGGGATACTTTTGCTTTCTTGCAGCTCCCCCCAAACATATATATATATATATATACTCCGCCCGGAAGATTTTGTCGGACGGAGTGGGAGAATAACCCACTTTTTAAAGATACCGCCTCAGTCCTAAGCAATGAGCAGAGGAGAAAAAAACAAGAGAGTCAATAGCTAACCCCTCTCCTTCCATTATCCTGTCAGGAACACCCCCGCGAGCGGAATGGAGTCTTCCCCAGCAACCCTCCTGCGCGTACTTCGCCAAGGTTCGGGTTGTACCATTACAAGCAAAAGGGAGGAAAGGGGGGGGGAAAGAGGGACAGTTCCACTCACAGCTTCACCACATTCTGTACCACCGCCGCCATCTTCCCCTCTGCCGCCTGTAGCCGCGAAGCACGCGAGGACGCATGCGCCGAGTGCCCGTTCGCGCTGACTCCGGCGACCGCTCTCCATGAAACCTTCCGATCAGGTTCGAAGACAGCGCATGCGTCCTGGCCCCAACCCTTCCTCACGCTCCAGGGAAAGAGAGGCAACGACTCCCACGCTCTTCCCGCTGCGGGAGCTGGCAGGCGCAAAGGACGCGCAGGCGCAAAGGAAGCAGAGTGGCCGTCCACAAGAAAAATTCCATTTACATGTGTTGCGCATGCGGCACGTCCGCAATCGAGGGCGCATGCGTGAGAAGTGCCGGGAAATCAACGTTGCTTGATAGAGAATTGAATTTTCGATTTAATATTTTGTAGTATTTGGAGAAAGAGTTAAAAAAAATGGCCCTCTACTGCCCTTACATATATGTGCCTAGAACAGGGGTCTTCAAACTTGGCCTTTTTATGACTTGTGAACTTCAGCTCCCAGAATTCCTCAGTCAGGCATGCTGGCTGAGGAATTCTGGGAGTTGAAGTCCACAAGTCGTAAAAGGGCCAAGTTTGAAGACCCCTGGTCTAGAAAATAAAAATACTAAGCATTTTAAATGATGGTTTTCTTTTGCAAATCCATATTTATAAATAGGTGTAAATAAACTTACATTTATTACTTACATTTAATTGTGGGTTTATGACTACACTTGGGGGCCAGAATTTCCGTTGCTAGGCAAGGAGATGGTTAAGCGAACTGCACCCAGTTTTATGGTGTTTTTTTGCCCTGGTTGCTAAGTGAACCACTGCAGTTGTTAAATGAATCATGCAGTCGTTAAGCCAATCCAGCTTCCCGTTGATTTTGCTTGTCAGAAGTGTGATCTTCCTAGCCACGTGACCTTGGGACACTACAACCATCATAAACTCGTACCTGAATTTTGATCACATGACTGTAGGGAATGCTACGATGGTCATAAGTGTGAGGACTTGTTGCAAGTCACTTTTTCCAGTCCCGTTGTAACATTGAACAGTCGCTAAAATGAATTGGTTGTAAGTCAAGGACTACCTACATGCAAATATACATGCGTGCATACTACTTGTGTTAAAGAATTAGGATCAAATGCACACTGAGCTATATGACAATTGCAATCCCATGCATGTTTTAAGTGTTGCTGCCGTGGCTGTTTGGCTCCAGGCAGGACAGCGACATCATTAAATAGCATTTTCCTGCTTTCAGATGGCACTTTCAGCCTCGTTAAGCTTGGAAAGAGCTATCATGTCAAGCCGGAAGGTGGCAGACAATTGTCAAAATAAATCTGGTCCCCTGCTAGAATTATGGTAGCGGAGCTGCGCTAGCTAGACTAAGGCAGCGGTTCTCAAAGAGCAGTTTGAGGTCACCTGGGGGTCCCCAAGACCCTTTCAGTGAGGTCAGCCAAGATAAACAAAAATACATACAGGTAGTCGGCTTACAACAGTTCACTTAGTGGCTATTTGAAGTTATAACAGCATTGAAAAAAGGGACTGATGCCCATTGCAGCATCCCCACGACCATGTGCTTGACGACTCACATTTATGAAGGTTGCTAGTGTCCCGGGGTCACGTGATCCCCTTTTCCAACTTGGGGGGGGGGTTTCGCACCTACGACCATTGTGGCATCCCAGTTGTGGTTTTATCGGTCAGTTGACTCTGCGTCTCCCAGAAACTCTAATGATGGTCAATCACATAATAATAGTAATAGTAGTAGTAGTAGTAATAATAAAAAGTTGGAAGGGACCTTGGAGGTCATCTAGTCCAACCCCCTGCTCAGGAAGGAAATCCTATACCATTATAGACAAATGGTTTGTCCAGTGTCTTCTTAAAAACTTCCAGTGTTGGAGCATTCACCGCTTCTGGAGGCAGGTTGTTCCACTGGTTAATTGTTCTCATTGTCAGGAAGTTTCTCCTTAGTTCTAGGTTGCTTCTCTCCTTGGTTAGTTTCCATCCGTTGCTTCTTGTCCTGCCTTCAGGTGCTTTGGAGAATAGCTTGACTCCCTCTTCTTTGGGGCAGCCCGAGATACTGGAAGGCTGCTATCATGTCCCCCCTCGTCCTTCTCTTCATTAAACTAGAGACATACCCAATTCCAGCAACCGTTCCTTATTGCTAAAGGATTTGTGTGTAATTTTGAATCATTTTTTAAATTTATAGGGGAGATGGCCAACCAAAGGGTTCTCCCCTTTAAATGTGCAGTTAAATTATTTGTGTGTGCTTTAAGTGCAGGGAATGGAAACAGGCTGCATCATTTAGTTCTGGAAATGGCTTTTCAACCATGCACTGGATTAAAATCAACATTCTTTCAGTATCCTTTAGGGATTCTATGCATATCGTATGTTTTTGTGGACCAGCTGCTTCAAGACACTTTCTTGGCATATATAGCAGAATAGAGGAGGAGGGGAAGGGAAATAAATTCCTTTTTTTTGTGTGTGTTGATCATTCATTTTGCTTGCTTGTAAGGACTTTTTAAGAGCCATTGTCTTGGGGGGAAAAATAAATATTAGGGCCTGGTTTGGAAGGATACATTTCCATAGAAACACCCCTGAGGTTAAAAAAAAAACCCCAAAACTTTTGTTTCTAAGGTGTTTTTAAAATTTCTATGGAATCATCTATAGGTAGTCCTCGGCTTATAACCATTCATTTAGTGACAGTTTACAACGGCACAGAAAAAAGGGACTTATGGCCGTTTTTCATGCTTACAACCGCTGCCACATCCCCATGGTCACGTGTTCAAAATTTGGACAATTGTCTTAATAATAGCAATAAGACATATATTGCTTTAGAGTGTTTTACAGCCCTCTCTTAAGCAGTTTACAGAGTCAGCCTCTTGCCCCTAACAATCTGGGTCCTCGTACCAACCTCGGAAGGATGGAAGGCTGAGCCAACCTTGAGCCGGTCAGGATCGAACTGCTGGCAGCGGGCAATACTGCATTCTGACCAATGCCTCACCATGGTTCATAAGGATTAGAGTCGTCAACATTTATTTTAACATTTTTCTTTAAATAAACCAAGGAATCTATAATAGAATAGAATAGAATAGAATAGAATAGAATAGAATAGAATAGAATAGAATAGAAGCTGGAAGGGACCTTGGAGGTCTTCTAGTCCAGCCCCCTGCTCAAGCAGGAAAACCTATACCATCTCAGACGTCATCACCCCAAAACAAACGCACACCGCAATTGCACACCTCATTTTACCACTTCATTTTAATTTATGCTTTTATTAACTTTTTACAAGATCTGTTAGTGCTTAATGGAGTAGAATGGCAGGATATAAATCAAATTAAAAAAAAACAAAACAGTTCATGAAAGGCATGTCGGCACAACGTACTTCATAGTACTAGCAGCAAAAACAGTGGCCAACTGTTTTATAAACCAATAGCTATCATACCTAGTAGCTATTAGAATAGTCACCATTCCTAAAGTTGAAATTAAACTTAAATATGTACATAATATGCTAAGCCAGAATTTAACTATTGTTTATTGCAACAACAAAAAAACCATACCATAAACCAAGATTTTCAACCTACAACGGTTGGGTTCACACAGACTATGCTAAATTCAAACACTTGTACCTTAAACAGGAGTTGGACTGGATCAGCGTTGCTTCAACTTCAAAATGTTCAGATGGGTGGACTTCAATTCCCAGAATTCCACTGGCTGGGGAATTCTGGGAGCTGAAGTCCAGTTGGAAACGTCTGGGAATTGAAGTCCATGCAGCTTAAAGTTGCCAACTTTAAGAACCATTGGACCAGATGGTCCCCAAGGCCCCTCCCACCCTTTAAATGTGATAGGAGGGTTTAGTGTTGTATGACTGCGTGAAACGAAAGGTTGTGTGTGCGCCTTGCACAGAAGGAAAAAGGACTCTAAAGAACCGATGAATAACAGCAATTGTTATGATTACATTCCTCTTATACCCAGTTTGCACGCCCACATTCTGCAATTTTGTAAATTGATGCAAATATTACAAAAATCCAGCAAGATTCCTTCTACACAGTTCAGCAAACCAACTTAGAATGTGCCTTTAGCAACTTCTCTTTCTTGGAAAAATTGGGGAGGCAGACGCCGTTTCGCTGCTGGGGCTATTTTGGCGTCTAAGAAGCTTCTTTTTTTTCTCTCTCAATGATGTGGCAACGGCACGCCAACAATTTTGCTGGAATTTGCAAAAAAAAAAAAATAAAATAAAATTTAAAAGGCAGAGACGTGGCGACACCCAGCTTCGCTTGTGGCTGGGCTGGGAAGAGAACTGGGCACGTACTGGGCAGGTCTGCGTCTTGGGTGTGAAGATTGAAGGTGGAGAGGAGTAAATTAAAATGAGTGAAATCACTCAAAACACAACTAGAAGATACGCTTGTAATTTGAAAAGCCTGCCTGTGGGCACACTCACAAAATGTCTGTGAGCAGGTGTGATAAAGGTCTCGTTGATCAGGTGATGGGACCTTTCACCATCCGGGGGGGGGGGGCTGAAGTTGGTGCTTAGCTATGCCAAAATAATCATCTAATAATCTAATTAATAGAAGGATTCATGCTGATGAGACACACGGGGAAAGGAGACCCAAGGCATCAAGGCAGACAAGAGTATAAAAATGACCGACAATAAAACAAAAATTCAAAACTAGAAGAGCGGATTTTGATCCCTGTAGTAAACCCCGGTTAAGGGACTTTATTCAACCATCGAAATGCAAAGCGTAAATTTAAATGCCTGGTGCTCTGGAGACAAAAATGTTCCAAAAACCCACCCTGGTATTTGGTCCATCGGGGGACGTTGAATGAAAGAAAAAATTAGGAGACTCAGAGAAAAACTTCGGTGGAACTCCTCCCTCCAAGATTATTTTATGCAAGATGGAAAGAAGGGGTTGCCTTCACGCGCCGTGCTAAACTGCCGCCGATTTTGGCGCTGGGTGGTACAAACTCAACCGTTGCAAATTGCAAAATTAAGACGGGACACATGCCACTAATTGCGGCTCATCCATGATTAAACAAACCATAATTCATTCCAACTCAAACAGAAGCTAAACTGATCTAAAGCCGCGCCTGGCTTAAGCAGAGGACGGATGTGTGAAACTCCCCCTTTTGCTAATTTTTTTTATAAAACTAAAAAACGGGGACAGTGAAACCGGTCCCATCCATGACAGCGCCTCTGCCTTTGTGAAAACGAAGAGGGGAAAACTACAGACGCGGGACTGTTAGCAACACACAACCGTTTCTGCTTTTGATCCTCTTTCTCCCCAACTGAACAATAAGCCAGCTGCCCCAGGGAAACAGCAGGGGCTGAAAAACAGAAGAGGGTGCCCAGAAATTAATTAGGAACATTAAAACCACCAATGCTCCTTTTTTTCCCCCCCTCAAATAAATTTTGAAACATGGATACAGAGCAATTTGTCCTTTCCAAATTACGAGAATTTTGCTTTTGGGTTTTAAAGTAAAGTTTGCAGATGGCGTTGTTGGGCAATGTTCGAAAGCCTGGATTAGGCACCCCAGGAAGATCACAATAAATCTCTGGCCTGATTTAAGAGGCCCTGCTGAATTATTTTCCAGCCGTTAGACACGGCGGTTTCCTGGGCCCCGAGATATAGCAGGATTCAAATATCAACACAGCCTCTCTGCAACTCTGCAAGGACCGCCAGCCTTATGCAAGGGAGATAGATGTGTGATCCCCCAGCGAAAACAGCTTTCACAACAACAGATGGACAGGATAAAAAGGAGTGTGAAGACACCCACTAAGGGACAAAGCGTCCCTTTGTTGGTTTGAAGGAGGGATTATTTCTGCTTCTCTCCAAAACACGCTCCACAAATCTTTCTAGGCTATCCTGGGCATGGAGGCAGACGTAGGATAAACCGTTAACAAAGCTCTTGGGAGCGGCGAAAATAAAAGACACGAGAAAATAAACGGAAAACAGGAACACCCCAAAATGGTTCCTTTTAGTGTCATCTCGGTCCGTATCTGGAGAAGTGGTGTTTTCCCTGACCTGGGGTGCAAAAAAATCACCACCAATTTCAGCAAAAGGTTGAAAAAAATCTCATCTTGGCACAAAGAGGCCACGATCAGCTTATCCTTCAATTTAGACATACGGTGAAGGTTGCGGTTTTGCCAAGGATTACATCGCTTCCCGTCAAAAATCACAATTTGGCAGACGGCGAGGGGACGGCTTGGAAAATTGGGAGCATCTGTTAGGCATCCTTTTGGAAGTTGTGCAGCCAGAAATTGTGCAAGCTACATTTTTTGGGGGGCTTCGTGCATTGTGAAACCCGAGCCTTCCTCTGCCCCAATGAGCGATGTGGCACTTCATTCGTATCAAAACAACTGAAATTTAGCCCTGATTCTGACTTTTTTGTTTGCATTGCAACACACAGACGGCCTCTTGGTACGTCACACCCGCTCTTTCGCCAGGGGTGTTTCCAAGGCAGATTAACCACCCATGGCAACCGAGCCAACAGTAACCTCATTCCCACCTACCCCGTTGCACAAAAGAAAAGTACAATCAACACAACTATTGGCTGCTCCAATTTTGTTTACCCCGGTCCGCCGCTTTCCTTTCGTAAAAGGCGATATGTCAATAATTAGGAATTTGTGGTGCCGGTTTAGGTAGTGTAAGAACGTGTTTCCGGGCCTGGTGGAACGACAGACTACATCTCCCATGCTCCTCCTCCTCCCTCCAGCAGCCTGTTTAGCCGAAGGTCGTTGCCAAGGGTGGAAGCCTCAACATCAGGCGTTGTCATCCATGAAGCATCAAATGGAAAGCCTCGGAGTAAGCACACCATTCGTAGTTGCACCCCTCAGTGATCAAGAAGGAACAGGTTTCCAGGCCTGGTGGAACTACATCTCCCATGCTCCTCTTCCTCCTCCTCCTCTTCCAGCACACCACTGCTGGAGGAGGGCAAGAAAGCTGTTTAGCAGAAGGCGGTTGCATCAAAGTTAAGTTAACGGAGAGGTCAGGAGCAAGCGTACCGTTCCTAAGTTGCACCCCTCCTCAGATGCACACACCGATCCTCAACTTCCACTTCACAGAGCCCAAACAACAACAACAACACCCCTCTTCTACAAATTGCCTTGTTTTGAGGAGTGCTTCCAGCAGGCAGAGCCTCAAGTCAGAATCTCCGGCCTGACGGAGTCCTGCCCGTCCACCTCCAAAGTCTGGTGCTTCTCCATCACTCCCAGAACGTCGTCCAGAATGGAGGGCCCCAAATCTACGTGAAGGGAGAGCAGGGACCCGGCGTGGGATAAGAAGGGCTCCTCTCTTCTCTCCCCCTCGGCAAAGCCGTTCAGAGGGGCAGGGGGCTTGGACTCCTCGGGGGCTTCCGAGGTCCAACCGTTGTTGGCCAGATGTTGAGCCTGCACCTCCGTCAGCGGAGCAGCATGGTCTCTGTCGTCCAAGTGAAGGCGGGGCGGCTTGGGCGGGGCCTGGGCGGAAGGCAAGGTCAGCGCCTGCAGGCCGCCGATGATCGGTAGAGAGATGGCGTTCTTGAGCAGCGGCGAAGGGATGTCCAGCGCGAGAGGCTCGTATCCCGAGATCGTCGACGTGCGCGAGAACTCGAAGGGCACCACGTAGCGTCTCTTCCCGTCGGCGTCCACCTTCTCCGATCCGGGCAGGAGGTGGAACTTGCCTTGAAGGAAAGAAATGTCTCCGAACATGTCGTTCTCCCCCTGACTCCCGATGTGGATGGTGTGCCGGAAATCCCCCAGGGGAGGGCTGATCATCTCGGAAGAGAGGATGTCGCGCAGTTTTTCCTTTTTTCCGCGCCGGCTTCCTCGCTTCAGGTAGATGGGCACTTTGGTGGCGGCCATCTTGCCCGGCACTAGAAAGGGGGAAGAGAAGGAATTGAGGAGTCAACGGATCAGGTTGGACCCTCCGAAGCAAACGGAGTGGGCAGTTGGACGTGCAAAGACGAGCAATATCGGTCTCAGCTGGATTCCTCCACGTTTGGGTTTAGTGGTTAAGGTTCCAAGCTAGAAACCAGGAGATGGTGAGTTCTAGTCCTGCCTTAGGCACGAAAGCCAGCTGGGTGATTTGGGGCGAATCACCAGGAAAGGGTGAATTCTAGTGCCACGTTAGGCATGAAAGCAGGCTGGGTGACCTCTTAGGCCAATCACCAGGAGACCGGGAGTTGTAGTCCCGCCTTAGGCACGAAAGCCAGCTGGGTGATTTGGGGCGAATCACCAGGAGAGGGTGAATTCTAGTGCCATCTTAGGCATGAAAGCAGACTGGGTGACCTCTTAGGCCAATCACCAGGAGACTGGGAGTTGTAGTCCCGCCTTAAGCATGAAAGCCAGCTGGGTGATTTGGGGCGAATCACCAGGAGAGGGTGAGTTCTAGTCCCACTTATAGACATTAAAACCATCCAGGTGACTTTGGATCAAAGGTGTGTTGAATAGTTTTGCCACCTTGACTCATTTGTAAAAACAATATAAAGGCAGGATATAAATAAATAAAATAAAAATGAGAGCGGACTCACCTTGGAAAGACCAATTTCCCCAAATCTGCTCAGCACAGAGGGTCTTCAGTGGATTCCCCTTTTGGCGTCAGGCTTTGAAGAAGCCTCGCCTTGTAGATCCCAAGTGTGATGGTCAGCAGGAAGGTGTGAGCATCATTCTGATCTTCTGCTTGTTCTTGTGTTCAAAAGGAAACAGAACCTGGCAGGATTTCAGCCGAGTCCCATTGTCCCATCCACATGCAGGGAACTGAAAGAAAAAAAGAAAGAAAGAAATTAAAATGATCTGTTTCTGAAAGCTGGGTAGATCCCAAAATGAGAGATTTAAATCCAGTTTGTTTCCTTTTCACACCAAGCTGCTGTGTCATCGCTGATTTCCGGAAAGAATCAACTTAGCTTGAAAGAAGTCAAATCACCAGGAGACGGTGAATTCCAGTCCCGCCTTAGGCATGAAAGCCAGCTGGGTATCTTTGGGCCAATCACCAGGAGACTGTGAGTTCTAGTCCTGTCTTAGATGTGAAAGCCAACTGGGTGACTTTGGGCCAATTACCAGGAAGCAGCGAATTCTAGTCCCGCCTCAGTCATGGAAGCCAGCTGAGTGACTTTGGGCCAATCACCAGGAGACGGTGAGTTCTAGTCCCACCTTAGATATAAAAGCAAACTGGCTGACTTTGGGCCAGTCCCTCTGTCTGAGTCTAATCCACGTTTGTTATTGTGGGAAAAACAGGAGGAAGGAAGGAAGGAAGATTAGGTACCGTATGTGTGCTGCCTTGATTTATTTGTAAAAATAATAAAGGTGGGGATAGATTGATGGATGGATGGATAGATAGATAGATGGATGCTAGGTAGGTTGGTAGGGAGATAGATAGATAGATAGATAGATAGATAGATAGATAGATAGATAGATAGATAGATAGATAGATAGATAGATAGATAGATAGATAGAGTAGGTGGATGGATGGATAGATAGATGCTAAGTAGGTTGGTAGGTAGGTAGGTAGATAGATGGATGGATGCTAAGTAGGTTGGTAGGTAGGTAGGTAGGTTGGTAGATAGATAGATAGATAGATAGATAGATAGATAGATAGATAGATAGATAGATTATAGATAGATAGATAAGCAGAAGAGATAGACAGATGATAGACAGACAGACAGACAGACAGACAATCTCTGCTACTGTCAGCCTTCCCAGGTAGACAGGAAACACAATCAGGTGAGCTAATTCTATTTTACTGGAAGGCTACCTTAACAGAATCTTGCAAGGTTGAACATACAAACCTCCTGCCGTTTCTTTTACAGCCTGAGAAGCCAGGGTGGGTCTTTCTCTACCCGTTGTACAGCCGCAGGCAAGGCCCTCTCTTATCTGACCTCTCTTATCTGACTGTCCTTGCTCCGCCTCGCGAATTCAGCAAACACCCTCCAGTAAAAAAGCCACTACAAGCCACTTCCAATCCCAAAAGTCAGGTTTACATTTCGGCCAAGCGAACGGAGATGAAAGCGGGCGTCGGATTCAGCAAGAGGCAGCAGGCGACCTGCTTCTCAGTTCCCCTGGGATGACGTGCAGTCCCGGACTTACAACAATTCGCTTAGTAACCGTTTGAAGTTGCAACGGTACCGGACAAAGCGGCGGGAACCTTTTTTTCCACACTTAACGGCCCTTGCAGCCATCCCCGTGGTCACGTGATCAAAATCCAGACACTCCTATTTATAAGCGGCCCTCAATTTTACGAGCGCCCCGGGGGGGGGGAAAGGGAAATTGGTCGTTAAAACAGGCCAGTCGTTACATCAGGCATCCCCCATTAAGTAAACAAATAAATAAATCGCACGCCCGATTTTTATCTTTTTTCCCCCCGTGGTCGTTAAGCCAAACCACGGTCGTTAAACGAGACATCACAGGATTGCAACTGGCAATCAGCCTGTCGGAAGCCAACTGGGAAGGTCACCAATGATAAATCACGTGACCCTCAGATGCCGCAACGGTCACAAGCCCAAGGACCAATCCCAAGACACAATTTTTTTTCCAGCGCCGTTGCAAACTTGGAACGGCCGTTAAACAAACGGTCGTTCAGTGGAGGACTACCTGTATTTTTGCTGCAAATTAAAGCAGCCCAGAGGGATAACAAAAAAAAGGATTATGAAAACCTTGAGGTGACCTGTCCAGTCCCATTTTTTTTTCCCCTGCTCCATTTAAAGCTGCGTTAAGTTCTTACCCAGCGGTTAACCGAGATAATTACGGGTTTTTTGTTTTGCTGGAATGATCATTAGGGTTGACTCAGCTCTGAAACTCTCTGGGTGGTCCAGGGCGGTCACCGTCCTCCACAACATCCCTTGCCCCTTAGCCCGCCTCGCAGGCTTGTTGCGCTGTGAAGGAAACCTGCGTGGATTGCTAGTATCTAAAATATAAACAAAGGCAAAAGATCTCCAATACTGCTTCCAGTTTCTTGGAAGTTTTTAAGAAGAGACTAGACAAACATTTGTCTGAAATGGTCTAGGCTGGGTTTCCTGCCCAAGCAGGGGGTTGGACTAGATGACCTCCAAGCTCCCTCCCAACTTTATTATGATGACGACAGCATCAGCAAATATACAGGTAGTCCTCAACTACCGGTATACAATTATCTAGCTTGCCTTCAGACGTTGTGGGGGCATCCTCCCTTGAGGTTTTTAAGAAGAGATTAGATAGTCATTTGTCTGAAATGGTATAGGATCTCCTGCCTGAGCAGGGGGGTTGGACTAGAAGACCTCCAAGGTCCCTTCCAACTCGGTTATTCTGTGAAATCCCCTCAATTGGCCCCGTTTGACTGAAAACAATTATCTACAGTTATCGCTGACTGCCAAGCCCTTATGGACTTATGATTTACGATTTTGATGACTAGACAGGATAGATTACAAAAAAAAAACCCCGAGAGATTTACGTGGTAAAAATTAAGTACAAAGTACTCATAATCACAGTTATAACCGCTGTAAAACCAGATCAAAAGTTATTTCTTTCTACCTTTTTTTCTTTCCTCTCTCTTTTCCTTCAGCCTTTTTCTTCTCTTGCGTTTTAACCTTTCATTTTGATGACTTTTCCTTTTGATATGTAAAGATACGCGTTTATACACACACATACACACAGAGGCATAAATACAGGTAGTCCTCAACTTACGGCCGCAACTGACCCCAAAATTTAGGCTGCCAAGTGAAACATTCAGTGTTTTGAGTGAGTTTTGTGGGGCAAGTGACTTTTGCCCCATTTTGCAACCTGTCTTTGCCCTGGTTGTTAAGTGAATCGCTGCCGTTGTTAAGCTGGTGACCCGGTCGTTCAGTGAATCCAGCTTCCCCCGTTGACTCTGCTTATCCAGAGGTTGCAAAAGGGAACCCTGTGACCCCCCCAGGGGGCGCTGCGACCGTCATAAATGTGAGCCAGTTCCGCCAAGCGTCCGAATTTTGATCACACGACTGCCCCAGTCGTTCAGTGTGAAAAACGGTCGTTAAGTCACTTCATCCGGCGCCGTCGTAACTTGGAACGGTCACTAAATGAACTGTGGTAAGCCGAGGACTACCTGTAGACATATATTTGTGTGTGTGTGTGTGTGTGTGTGTGTGTGTGTGTGTGGTCTGTGTTTGTACGCCCACAGAAGCCAGTGACACCTGTGCTTTATGCTAAAAGTTCATGGAACCTTTTAATTAAATCTTTTAATTAAAGGTAATTAAAGCTTTCTCTTCCTGAAGAGGTGACCTTTTCTTCACCTAATAAGGCCCACGTTTGAAAGCAGTCAGGGCTGAAATTATAATTATAGCCTGGTGCTCAGCACCAACAGGATGACCCTCCCATTATTCTACTTTGATCTTCCTTCCTTCTCTCCTTTCTTCTTACCTTCCTTCCGTCCATCCTTGTTTCCTTCCTTTTATCTCCCTTCTTCTCTCCTTCTCTCCCTTCCACTTTATTTTTTCTTTCCTTTTATATCTTCTTTCCTTCCTTCTCCCCCTTGTTGTCTTCTTTCCTTCCATCTTTATTTTTTCTTTTCTTCCTTCTTTGTCTCACTTCCTTTCACTTACCTTCCATCTTTATTATTTCCTTTATCTTCCATCTTTATTTTTTCCTTCCCTTTATCTTCTTTCCTTCCTTCTCTCCCTTCTCTTCTCTCCTTCCTTCCATCTTTTTTTCTTTTCTTCCTTCCTTGTCTCACTTCCTTTCACTTACCTTCCTTCCCTCTTTATTTTTTTCTTCCTTTTATCTTTCCTTCTCTCCTCCTCTTCTCCTTTCCTTCCTTCTCTCCCTTGTTCTCTTCTCTCCTTCCATCTTTTCTTTTCTCCCTTCCTTGTCTCACCTCCTTTCACTCACCTTCCTTCCATCCATCTTTATTATTTCCTTCC